TAGCCATGGGGAATGCAGGGTTACAGGGATAGGCTGGGAAGATGGGTCTGGGTGGGATGCTCTTCAGAGGGTTGGTGTGAATTTGATGGGCTTCCACCTGTAGGGAATTTATTCTATTCTAGTTAACTATATTTGCTGTAAGCGATCTGGAGTTAATCTACAAGGCTTTCTTGTTTCAAGAAAGAGCAAAATTATTAAATTTTAAGCTCTAGGAAAGTACTTTTGAAATGCTTCTTTGCAGTCTTTGTGCAGTTGCGTGAGCCCACATGTATGAACATAAAACGGTATGAAAGTGAGACCTCTTGATTTTAAACAGTGACTCCTAGTTCAAGATTCTCCCACAAGAGAAAATGTCCTTTTCATCCTGTCAAGATGTATTAGGACCTTAAATGTCAAAGAAATTGCCCTTTTCTCTTCTAAACTCCAGCCAATACAAGCCTAATCTGTCCAAACTTTCCCTTTAAGACAACCCATGGCTTCTATGTATTGGACGAGTAAATCTTCTCTGAACTGCTTTCAACACAGTTATGTCCTTCCCTAAATATGGAGACTGATACTGTACACAATAATTCAAATGTAGTCTCACCAATGCCCTGTATAAATTAAGCATTATCTTTGTGCTCAATTCCCTTTACATGGTAGCATTCTATTAATTTTCCTAATTATTTGCTGTACCCTCGTACTAACTTATTGCAATTAATGCGTTAGAAAGCTCAGATCAGTCTGCATCTCAGAACTTTGCAATTTCTTACCATTTATATAATATACTTCTTTTTTTATTCCTTCTGCTGAAATGGGCAATTTCACATCTGTCCACAGTTAACTCCACTTGCCAATTCTTTACCCATTCCGTTAACCTACTTGTATGTCACATGCAGGTACAAAGTTAAAGGAGCATAGTGCCCGTTATAAAGAACAATAAAAGAAAATACGATTTTGGTTTCTTTTGAGGTGTATGACTTTAGCTTGAGGCTAATGCCAATTAGTTGGTTTCTTGGATGTATTCAGTTACAGTGACTGTTGCAGTTATTAAAAATTCCTAGTTCCTTTATGGTTCTCAACAGCTGTTTCTGTGGGAACCAGGTGTCAACTTCTTCAGAGAGAGAAAATGGAGATAGCAGCTTCTCTTCAATTGTCTGCCAAAAAGCTCTCTTGAAATACTGGTTATGTATGTATATTTCCGAATGTATATTCCCGAAAGGTTCTTTGGTAATTCTGTCCAGGACAGCTAGTCTGTCAATGTGTAGTACTTTACATTTGTTAATGTCTTCCTAAAACTGTGATAGCTGGCTGGATTATGTGAAGTCTCACTTTTCACAGTCCCCTGAGGCTGATTCATTTTTTTTTATCACCTCCACCTTCGGAGGTGGCTTCATATTTTTAAGCAATTTTCCTTGTCTCAGTCCAATTTACAACAATTCCAACCATTTGCGACTTTAAAAAAATGCTATCTTCAATAAATAGAGGGGTATCAATGAAGAATAAAATAATTACTTTGAAATTGAAAGAGTCAAATTGTGTTAAATTAAGGTATTAATGCAGATTAGGAGAAGGGTCATAAATGGTTACATTTAAGAATCTGTTTCAAAATGTTTGGTTGCAATAAAAAATAAAAGTGCAGTCCAATATTTAAACAGTTGCTATTCATATAAGACAATGGTCTATCCTCATTTCAAGTATTGTATAGTTAGAAAGTTTTAGCTATGTTATACAAAAATATGAAAATGGTAAATAACTCAGATTTTATTTGCCTAATATTTAAAGAGAAAGTGGAATTCTGGTCCCAGGTTCAGTCCCCAGCATGTGCAGGATTACTTTGTTTTTAGTTTGGTTAGTGCTAGAGATACTGCAGTTTGCCTCAGCATCCCCAAGAGAGCAGCTAAGTCAGAGAGACTGGGAAATAATGAGTTCGAATCTGATCTATGCAGAGATTGCCATAATTGACCTCAATACTTATACTTCAATAAAGGAAAACAGAGCCTGGGGTTCTGGTACTGATTGTCATCCGCCAACTCACTGTAGGAAAGAGCAGATATAAAACAATAAGAAATAGGAAGAGGAGTAGGCCATTCGGCCGCTCAAATACACTCCATCATATAATAGGATCATGGCTGATCTGACATTCCTCATGTACACTTTCCTGTGTTTTCCCAATAACCCTTGATTCCCCTACAGATCAAGAATTTATCTAACTCTGTCTTAAATGTACACAAGGGCTCTGCCCCCATGGTTCTCTGTGGCAAGGAGTTTCAAAGATACTGAACCATCTGAGAGAAGAAAGTCCTTTTGATCTTAGTCTTCAATTGGTGTCCCTTTGTTCTGAGACTGTGTCCTGTGGTCTTAGTTTCTCCCATGAGGGAAACATCCTCTCAGCCTTTACCCTGTCAAGCCCCTTAAGAATCCTATATGTTTCAATGATATGACCTCTCATTCTAAACTTCAGTGAGTAGAGTCCCAACCTATTAAGCTTTGCTTATGAGATGATCCCTCCATATAAGTGATCATGCACCGTGGGTTGGGCCTGTTTCTGACCTCCCATTTAACTCCCAATGGAACAGGCTGATGTACTCAAAAATGCATAAAGGTCATAGCCTGCGGATAGGTATCCGCTAGTTCCAGGTTCACACTGAAGTTAATGCCCCTCAGAAAGGGTCAAAGAATCTGCAGAGAATTGTGTTTTTTAAATTACCAAATAAGTGGGCCCTTTCAGGTGAGATACGATAAAGTACTGTACTGTTCAAGATTTGTGGTTTATATTTTTAGGGTAAGTATAAATTGTGAAACAGAAAGTTCAAGATGATGTTCATTGAGCAGAATAACATTTATTTTGCAGTAAAACCCCTAAAATGGCAATATATACCTGTTGGTTCAATGTAGAATGTAGCAGGAAATAATTTGCACAAGTCAAAAGATTTTATCATGTACACAATGGAAAATAGACCTATTATCTCTTGGCAGATATGCATCACACTGCTTTGCATAACCAGTAATTCTAGTTAAAAGTTCTCTCTCCCTTAATATTTTGACTCTGTTCTTGAACATACAGTACAGACAGTTCATTCTGCAATAATTTTCATCCAGATTGATTCATTGTAAAAATGTTCCCTGATTAGGATTGCAGACGTGAAATTTCATTCATGATGTGGTGATAATAGTGTTCTATACTGAAGAATCATTTTATATCAATTTGCTTACTTGTCTTTGCTTGGAGTGCATATTCTGGCATGCAGCCTATTATATTCCAATATGTGCAGGTACAAACATTAGTTAAATCAACCCTCTTTAGTCTCTTTGGGAGATGGATGATTTACTGTTAATCAATCTTATTTATTTTCTCCTATGTGAGAGTATTTTATATCCTAATTTCACTAAGCAGTTTTAAGACTTTGGAGTCTTTTTTTTTTAAACATTGTTTTAAAACCAGTTTACTCTTCTCTCCTGAAAGTGCTGATGCCATGCTAGTGTTTGGTCCATTGGGCCCAGCTGCTGTCCAGTACCTTGCTCAAATGACCATACTACTTATGTGAGATTGGATGGTGACTATTGATTTCAATGATATTTGCCCCTTGGCAGTACCTAAGCCAGTCGTAATCCTATTGTCCCCACACGTAGACTTGCTAGTCAGAATAACAGGATAGCATTCAATTTTGGGAAGAACTGACCTGTTTTTTTTTAGTGGAAGTGCATTGAGACTCCTACTTCCACATGGACAGGATTGGTTCACTCAGTACAGACTGACACTTGAGGGCCAGGGCTAGGGCCCTTCTGTCCTGTATTACTCAGTTACTTAGCTATCATCCAAGGTGAAACAGCAGCTAATTAAATTTTAGATTTGAGCATAGGAAAGGAATATAAATTGGACAATAACAGTGTCTGCACAGAATAGGATGAAGAATATCTTTAACATACATATTTTCCTATTAGATATTTAGGAATTTCCTATTTTCTCAAAAACAAAAGGCTGACACTATTTCTGCTACATATGAAATTATGGATTTATAATCTATGTACTATTGTGATTACTGTACCTATAATCAAGGTTGCTCACTTAATAGCCCAGTGAGTTAATAATTTCTTTAGCCAGGACAGCAATTGGGCTATGATAAATGGCATCCTTGGCTGAGAAAGTTAATGAATGTGTAACTCCTGATTGCTATCCAGAAAACCATCCAGAAGTACCCATTGGCATTGGGTGAGCAAGGAGTGGGTTAATCCCTCATAGAGTTTCACAGTGAAATACACTGAAATACAATCATAGATTCCCTACATGTGGAAAGAGGCCATTCAGCCATTGGGTCTGCGCTGAGCCTCCGACAAACAACTCAGCCAAGCCCAGCTTCCCTATCCCCATAACCCTAAATTTACCATGACAAATCCACCTAACCTGTGCATCCCTGGACACAAAGGGACAATTTAGCATGGCCAATCCACCTAACCTACACATCTTTGGACTGTGGATGGAAACCTACGCAGATATGGGAAGAACATGTAAATTCCACACAGACAGTCACCCGGGGCTGGAGTTGAACCTGGGTCCCTGGTGCTGTGACACAGCAATGGTAGCCACTAAACCACCATGCCATCTTGTCAAAACTTGTTAAGGAGCACTCTGGAATGACTGTTACTTGTATGAGGAAACCAGTGACAATGGTTCATGCAACGGAAAGTCAGTGGCTTCAGAAGAGGGAGGAAAATTGGTAAAAAGTCAGTGAAAGAAATGAGGGATTTTATGTTACTCAAGCAACAGTATATAGGATGAAGACATTTTGGATTTTATCATTGAGAATTTACCATCTCAGCTGACTAAATATTAGAGCTCCTAGTCAAGGATATATTAGATGGCTAATCTCTACATGAATCTAATCTATGCAGCTCTGTTAATCCCAAGTTTATCATTTATGTTTTGCCCATGGTGTAATGGAGCTTTTCTCAAAATAAAAGGCAGGTGGTAAATCAGTTAATAATTAAATTGGAATTGAATGAACTGTCTTTCACCACAGGTTGTCATAGAAACTGAGAAAATTTCATACCAATTGAAACTCATGTCCCTTGAAGATTTGGAGCAGGTGGTTAGTCATGTCACTGCGTCACTCAAAAAAATATTTCCAGATTCATCACCTGGGTAAGTCAGCCCCCAAGTGGAATTTTTGTTTTTGTGTCTCTCTTTCACTGTTTTGTGCTTTACAATTTGAGACCGTACTCAAATAGACAATGCTGCTTATAAACCTACTTAAAATATATAGAGTGATGGTTGGAGTTGATGGAACATCTAACTTTGGCAGCAGTGCTATGATGTAAATGAAGGCTGTGCGACTGATGCAGGAGCAGCAAAGGGCCCCATGAAGGAATTGTAGGCAACTGCTGTTCTGACAGCAAAGCAGTCACAATGTGAGACAGTTTCTGCTCTCTCACACCATCTCCTGCAAATCCTGGCTGTGAGCTGTGTGGATGGTTCACCTGTTTCTATGTGATCATGGATGTAATTTTCCAGGGGTGGCTGATCTTGAGTATCTTCAGATGTTGTTGATTCTACTTGGAGCAGCAATATCTCCAGATCACTTCTACAAGAAGACATGTTCCAACCTTCTCCTGCCACTTTCCTACAGTCTAACTTTCCAACACTTTCTTTAGAAAACTGTAAGTAATAATAGGGTATGTGTCGATGAATCCAGCTGACTTCCTTCTGAACTCCCTTGGTCATAACCCTAAGCAGGTATCAGTCGGGTTGGGTGAAGAATTGAAGTACCCTCACATTAAGCTTTGCCACACTATGTTAAGTGTGTTATTGTGCTGTTTCTGCTCAATGATGCCAGTAAAAATCTAGCCTGAAGATTGGTCATGTGAAGGTATTGAAAAGTTTTCGACTCAGAGAACCATAACACAGCATGAATGTCATCACGTTAAGAAGTTAGAAGAAAATGAATCACAGATTGATTAAAAGGCTGTGATCTAAAATGTCAAATGATCTTTTAACTTAGCTTAACCCTTGATTAAATTAAAGCATTCTAATCATCTGCTATTCTAGGTATAGTGAGTATTTGATAAAGTCAGAACGATTAATTCCTTTAAACGACCAATGATGAGATTGAACGTTGATATAAAATGTGATAGTGAAGTGCTTAATGTCTAAGATTAATTTTCTCAGAAAACTGCTCAAGAAGAATTCCCCTGAGTTGCAAGAGAGAATAAAAAAAATCACTTTAGCACTGGAAGAACAGACTGACTCCAATCAGGGGCCGTGTGGTACGTAAATGAGCTAATCCTCTGCTTAGCAAATTGTTCACCCATATCCTAGGCCCAACACGTTGTTTATGTCTGGTTATAATATATGAATTTAAAAGAAGGAATGAATCTAGTAGATGGACCAGTACCAATAGAACAGTGCTTGAAACTGTCCTGAAAAACAAGTCTAACAAAAGTCAATTTGTATTGCAAAAGACGTATCCTTTCCTATTATTATTTTGTGTTTAAAAGTCTCAAGACAATGTTGAAACCAAACTTATCAGTTTTAAACAAAAACCAAAATTGCTAGTGAAACTCAGCAGGTATGGTAGCATCTCTGGGAAGAAAGGAGAGTTAACGTTTTGAGTCCAGTGACTCTTTCAAGTTTGGTGACTCTAAATCAGAACTGCTGATTCAGATGGAGAGTTACTGGACTTGAAATGTTAACTCTGCTTCCTTCCCACAGATGCTGCCAGACCTCCTGAGTTTCACCAGCTATTTCTGTTTTTGTTCCAGATCTTCAGCATCTGCAGTTCTTTGTTTTATTATTAGTTTTAAATCAGCAGCACATCATAATTGTATTTTGCTGATATAAAAGGGGCTTGAAAGCATTAATTTGTGTGTTTATTCAAAGCAAAATCTTCAGGCAATAAGAGGGAAATGGTCCATAGTGGTCACATCACTGGAAATGGCCCATGATCCCATCATTGTACCTGGTGGATTGAAATTTAAGGTGCTGGATGTTACTGTAATAGGAAAAGGCTCCAGAACCTTCTATTCTTTTCTTCTTTAGCTTATTGCCATCCCATAATCATTGCTGACGGAATTCTTCACTAATGGAAGAGAAATTGTTCTTGGCCTACATTGTTCAGCTCAGTATGAGCTCAATGCACTAGCAAAGCAAGCTGAGATTAGCACACAGCCACTGCTAAAGTAGGGTGGTGGGGAGGCATGGAGGGGAAAATGGGGATAGGAAGATTATTCTCCTTGCTTCCATTCGGCACCTAACTGCTCCTTTTGCGTGGCCCAACTTTTCTTTGGTGGAATTCCTGCCTCCAGTCAGATAGTAACTTTGTTCAAATGTCTGCTGAGCTGATCAAGATCAGCACCTTAGAGGAATAGATATATGGAATCGATGCCCATTTAGAGCAGAACTTTGTTGTGCTGCCCAAAAGACTGGCTTCCTCGTCTCATGATTGTTTTGATTTACAGGTGGCTATTCAGAGACTTATGCAGCATTGTGTGATTACAATGGATTTTCCTTCAAGGAAGAAATCCAGTGGGTATGTCTACATTGAGCACAATTCTTTCAAAATAACCAGCTGGAATTAAATAAATGAATACAAAATATACAACAATCATGTCATGAAGAAAGTTAGGAAAATGAAAATGATGTAAGTGCTGGTGTAAACTGATGAAAGCGCTGCATGGTATGACATAAGATTATCACAACAATCTTTTGTACCATCACACCAGTGGGAATTTGTTGAAGTAAAAATAAGGTTTGAAACTTGGAGGATGAACTCTATGATGTAAGACCGTATAAAAATAATGATTTGCTTTAATATAACATTTTTTCCTGACTAAAGAATACCCAAAATGCTTTTTTTAAAGTGTAGTTTATCTTGTAATGTTGAAAAGTTGGCAGCCAGTTTTTGCACAGCAAGCTTCCACAAGCAGCAGTGTAATAATGACCAAATGATCTGTTTTTATGATGTTGATTGAGGGATAGATATTGCAGGTCAAAACCCATTTCTTTTCTTTGCAATAAAGCCATTTGATCTTTCTCATCCACCTAAGAGGGTAGGTGGGAACTTTCACATGAAGTATCATTTGAGAGATGGCACTTCAACTGTGCATGACTCCCTTAATACTACACAGTAGTGTTAGCCTTGATTTGTGCCTAATTTCTGAAATGGGACTTGTATTCATAACTTCTGATTCACAGGCTATCCGCTAACCCTCTAGTGTGGGATAAATTCCATAAGCAGAACATTGGCTTCAAATTGAAAGGAGCAACAATAAAAATATTAATAATTGGCCAATACTGTGAATAAATTATTTATTTCTTGTAACTGAGAGTCACCTGAGTATTATTACATGGAGTCATGCTCAGAAATAAACTGAAAGTGAATTGTCAGTTTGACAGCTATGTGAGAAATTTAGGGGCAGGAGTAGACCATCCAGTTCTTCCAGTTAGTTCTGTCATTCAATTCGATCATGTCTAATCTGTATCTGAACCCCATTTCCCTGCTTGTCTCCTTAATCCTTATTATTATTGCTAATAAAAATCTATCACCTCAGTTTTGAAATTTTCAATTGGCTCCCAGCCTCAATTGCATTTTGGGGATAAGTGTCCCAGATTTTCAGCACTTTTTATGTGAAAAGTTAGCTTCTGCTTTCATAACAAAAACAGAAGTTGCTGGAAAAGCTCAGCAGGTCTGGCAGTATCTGTGGAAAAGAAATCAGTTAACGTTAACTCTGATTTTTTCTTCAAAGATGCTGCTGGACCTGCTGAGCTTTTCCAGCAACTTCTGTTTTTGTTTCTGATTTACAGCATCCACAGTTCTTAAGTTTTTATTTATGCTTTCATAGTCTAGCTCCAAATTTGTGGTTACAGCCTCTTGTTGAACTTGCTGACCAGAGGAATTGAAAATTTCAATTGAGATGCAAATCAGCCATGATCTAACTGAATGGCAGAACTAGGAACTGAATGGTCTACCCCTGTTTCTACATTTCTTATGAAATCATTTGATCATCTTAAACCTCCAATTGGATCAGTTCTTCATCTTTCATATTTAAGGAAATTAAGGACTAGCCTGCAGTCTGTCCTTATAATTTAATCCTTTGGCTCCAGTATCACCAGTCTGCACTTCAGCCCTCCAAATTTAATATATCCTTCCTGAAATGAAAATACCTAGAACTTGGTGCTGTACTCCAGATGGGGACTAATCAGAGCTTTATACACCTGTAACGTTGCAAAGTTTGGAGGTGTGTGGGACATAATAATTCAAAACGCTACCTGGTATGCCTTTTGCTGGCTCCATTCTTTCCCCAGGATATTTTTCCACACCTGAGATTGACAATGTAAGGGCTACCCATTCTTAAGTGATAGGTAGCAAATTAGATAAGTGACTATTAAGCTTTTAAGGCCTGTTGTTGGCCCATGGGCTCCCATGTTGCTAGAGATCAGATAGCTGCTTTGGTGATCCTCCGACAGCACATCTAGGGTACCAGTACTCTGGGCGGCTATGAGACCCACTCTGTCTGGCATGGTTATATGTTGCCTAGGGAAGGGGCTCCACCTTGGTAGGAACCTGGCTGCTAAGGACAGTTTTTAATTTCAATTTAAAAAAAAAACAGACAATGTGGCTCTAGATGGAGGAGCACATTCTTACCTGAATGCAGGCTGTAGCTTTTTCCATGCTGGAGCACTTCCAGTTGGCCTTCCAACTTCTAGAGCCCACCAGCCATCCTTACTTACACATTGAGTCTGCCCTGTGGTCATTAACTAATCACTGTTCAGAAAATTACTACTAGTTGTTGCCATGTTTGGAAGGTTTGAGCTATAGGGAGATACTGAATACACTGGGGCTATTTTCCGTGGACCATCGGAAGCTGAGGGGGGTGACTTTATAGAGGTTTATAAAATCATGAGGGGCATGGATAGGGTGAACAGCCAAGGTCTTTTCCCCAAGGTAGGGGAGTCCAAAACAAGAGCGCATAGGCCTTAAGGTGAGAGGGGAAAGATTTAAAAGGGACCTAAGGGGCAACATTTTCACACAGAGGGCGGTGCATGTATGGAATGAGCTGCCAGAGGAAGTGGTGGAGGCTGGTACAATTACAACATTTAAAAGGCATCTGGATGGGTAGATAAATAGGAAGGATTTAGAGGGATATGGGACATATGCTGGCAAATGGGACGAGATTAATTTAGGATATCTGGTTGGCATAGATGAGTTGGACCAAAAGGTCTGTGTCTGTGATGTACATCTCTATGACTCTAAGTGACCATTTCTCCCAAGCACTGTAGAGCTGTAATCCCCTTTTGATCCTGATGTTGGGATCCTAACCCAAAGCCTGCCCATAATCTTCGTGCTTTGCTTTTCAGCCATTTCGAGACAAAGCCCAGCATTCCATTAGCTTTTTAAGTTATTTCTTCAATATTCACTAACACTTAGTGATTTTTGAATCTCTGACCCTAAATATCTCTGTTCACAAACAGTTCCTAATTTAACATCATTTTAAGGGTACCCTGATCTAACATTTTTAGCCATGATGTGGAGGTGCCGGGTTTTGGACTAGGGTGGACAAGATCAGAAGTCACATGTCACGAGGTTATAGTCCTCAGGATTATTTGAAATCACTAGCTTTTGGAGTGCTGCATTGCCTAACAAAGGGGCAGCGCTCTGAAAGCTGGTGATTTCAAATAAACTTGTTGGACTATAATCTGGTGTCGTGTGACTTCTGACCTTAACATTTTTAGGTCCACGGTGAATAATCTGATACTTTCTCATGCTAAATTCCATCTGCCACTGATTTGTTAACTCATTTAATTTGACAATGTTCTTTTGTAAATTTCTGCTCCCGTCTGCACAATTTACACTATATAATAACCAAAAGAACTGCAGATGCTACAAATCAGGAACAAAAACAGAAGTTGCTGGAAGCTCATCAGGTCTGGCAGCATCTGTGAAGAAAAAAATCAGAGTTAACGTTTCGGGTCCAGTGACCCTTCAATTACACAATTTACACTGCTGCCTGTCTTCGTGTCATTAGCAAATTCATATATATGGCCACTTCCTCATCAGTTCATATATATGGCCACTTCCTCATCAAAGTCATTTAGAAATATAATGAAAAACTGAGGCCCAAATCAAAATCCCTCTGGAGACTACTAGTTGCATCCTCCCAATTTGAGTACATATCCATTATCTCTATCTCCTATCTTCCAATCAATTCCACATTCAACCCAATAGGTGGTTTCCAATTCCACACTCTTATTTGGAACCTTGTTGAATGCTTTCCCAAGTCCAAATAAATAATATTGATAGATGATCCTGTGCTAATTATTACACAGGAACTTCAGCTAGGTTCCTTTTCAAATCTGTGATCAACTCATGTTTACCCAAATTCAAAGTGATTGTCCATAATATCAGATTCTAGTATCTTTAGGGTGGCACAGTGGCTTAGTGGTTAGTACTGCTGCCTCACGACACTGATCTGATTCCACCCTCTGATGACTGTGTGGAGTTTGCATATTCACCTTGTGTCTACATGGGTTTCCTCTGGGTGTTCCAATTTCCTCCCACAGTCCAAAGATGTGCACACTAGGTAGATTGGCCATGCTAAATTGCCCATAGTGACCAGGGATGTGCAGACTGTGGGGATTAGCCATGGGAAATTCAGGGTTACAGGGATAGGGCAGGGGAGGGGTCTGGGTGGGATGCTCTTCGGAGGATCAGTATGGACTCAATGGGCTGAATGGCCTGCTTCCACACTGTAGGGATTCTGTGATTCTACATTCTGGTATCATCCCTATTGCTGACATTAGACTGAATCCCAATTACATCCTGGTCTGCCCCTCTAGTCCAGGTGTCTTCTATATGACCTTTAGAAAAGTACATTCTCTTGAAACTGACATATATAATTAGCCATGTTGTTAGTCCTGATGCTCGTGTGAAGCAGTTCAAATGTGATCAATCAACTGAACTCTCGTTTTCTCCTCCGAGGATGTAGATACCATCTATCACAGCCAAAATACCAAGGAATTTAATCTGCTAGATTTCAGCCACTTGGACACAAGGTGAGTCAAGGCCAATTCTTCCTTTCAGATCACTTAAGTAAGCTAAAATTAAAATTAATTTGTTTATCAATAGATGTTTATCAACCTGGATCACATCAGAAATAGGTGTAGAAATTTGCCTTTGTCAGTAGCCCAAAAATGGATAGTATTGCCTCCATCCCATATTGTCTTCCAGTAACTGCAACACACAGTTCATAGTAAAGAGTTATTAACAGTAAAATGAATAATAAAAATATAGCAAGATACTAACAAATATACAAGGTGTACAGAAATGTGTTCTCTATAACTGATAGTTTTCTGAATATTGTTCATTTGGTCTGATTTTCTCCTGAATGTACCTTTTGATGTTGATACTGTTCTACTGATGCAGGCTACCCTCCAGTGATATGTCTTTATGTCTGAGTGCTTTCATAGCTGTATATTCTCTTATTTGTAATGTAAATTAATTGGTGCTTGTGTGGTGCAAACTGCAGCAAATTATATTTATACAGTGCCTTTAACATAATGAAACATTCCAAGATGCTTTACAAGATCATTACAAAGCAAAATATGACACCAAGTCACAAAGGATCAGAGAACCAAAAGCTCTGTCAAAGAGGTGGGTTTTAAAAAGCATTTTAAAGGAGAGGAATGAGGTAACAAGGTGGAGAGATGGAATTCCAGAATGTAGGGCTAGACAACTGAATGGTGAAACACTTTTGTTTGGAAATGTGCGAAAGACCAGAATTGGAGGAGAACAGACACCTTAGAGTGTTGTGGGAATGAAAGGAACTCCACATATTGAGAGGCGAGGCAATGGCGCAAAGTGAAAACAAGAATAAAAATTTTAAAATCAAGATGTTCCTTGACTAGGAGTCAGTGGAAGTCAGAAAACACATGCATGAATGATAAGGAAATGGAACTTGCTGCAAGTTAAGACATGGGTAGCAGAGATTAAGATGACCTTCAGTTTAGGGAGGGTAGAATATGAAAGGTCAGGGGTAAGTGAAATAGTTTAGTCTAGGGGTAATGAAAGCATGAATGAGGATTTCAACAACAGATGAGCTGTGGCAGGGTCAAAGTCTGGTGTTATGATAGAGATGGAAACAAATGATCTTAGTGATGATGCAAATAAATATCATAGCAATTACAGCGATGTGGCTCAGGGATGGACAGGACTGGCAACTTAATGTTCCAGGGCATAAATGTTATAGGAAGGATTGAAAGGGAGGCAAGAGAGGAGGCCACGTGGCATTTTTGATTAGGGATAACGTTATGGTTGTATATAGGGAGAATATTCCTGGGAATATGTCTAGAGAAGTTATTTGGGTGGAACTGAGAAATAAGAAAGGGATGATCACCATATTGGGATTGTACTATAGACACCCAATAGTCAGTGGGAAATTGAGAAACAAATTTGTAAGGAGATCTCAGTTATCTGTAAGAATAATACAGTAGTTATAATAAGGGATTCTAACCTTCCAAACGTAAACTGGGACTGCCTTAGTGTTAAGGGCTTGGATGGAGAGGAATTTGTTAAGTGTGCACAAGAAAATTTTCTGATTCAGTGTGTGGATGTAAGTACTTAGAGAAGGTGCAAAACTTGACCCCCTCTTGGGAAATAAGGCTGGGCAGGTGACTGAATTGGGACCATCGACCATAATTCTGTTAGTTTTAAAATAGTGATGGAAAAGGATAGACCGGATCTAAAAGTTAAAGTTCTAAATTGGAGGAAAGTCAATTTTGACAGTATTAGGCAAGAACTTTCAAATGTTGATTGTGGACGGATGTTTGCAGGTAAAGGGATGGCTGGAAAATGGAAAGCCTTCAAAAACAAGATAACGAGTCCAGGGACAGTATGTTCCTGTTAGGGTGAAGGGCAAGGCTGGTAAGTGCAGCGAATGCTGGATACTACAGACATTGAGATTTTGGTCAAGAATTAGAAGGAAGCATATGTTAGGTATAGACAGCAGAAATTGAGTGGTTCCCTACAACAGCAGAAAGGCAGTATGAGTATAATTAAGAGGGAAATCAGGAGGGCAAAAAGGGGACATGAGATAGATTCGGCAAATAGAGTGAAGGAGAATCCAAAGGGATTCTACAAATACATTAAGGACAAAAGGGTGACTAGGGAGAGAATAGGGCCCCTTAAAGATCAGCAAGGCGGCCTATGTGTGAAACTGCAGGAGATGGGGGATATATTAAACAAGTATTTTGCATCAGAGATAACAAGGTGTAGAGCTGGATGAACACAGCAGGCCAAGCA